CTTCTCTGTAAAAGGCAGCCTGACTCGCCTTAGAAGAGGCGGCAACTGTGACTGAATAGATTTCAAAGATCTATTAGGCATTTAAGGACACAACAAATAGAGTTGTTTGCTAGCCTAGCCATAAGAAGCAAGGCTTCTTTGGTAGTATCTTTTATTGGATCAATTGTATACTTGGATGAGATGTTAGACAAGCTCTTGGGCACAAATCTCTCTCCTAATTATACAGCTGGTCCAATAAAGTAAAGCCTTGCTTCTTGCATTCACTAGACCACCACAAGTACAACACTGCACTTATTATACCTAACAATGTCATCTTGCACTTAACTTGCACTAGAAAATGGGTGCAGAGATTCTTTCTTCAAACTCAGTCACATAAGACCATTTAAAATGTCACCTCAAGGGAGCACCACTGAAATTCTCTTTCCTAAATATTTAAACAAATCTGCCTGAATAACTGAAACCACTGCTGAGGGGAACATTATATGCACGACGTGGTGGTCAAGCCTTTGCTCAGTCTCCTATATAGGCTATGTGGTATATGAACAAGCTTTTAAATGTTCACCAGGCTGTTGCTTCCCTTTAAATAAGATTTGATTGACTGCTATGTTGCCAAGCAGCATTAAGCTCAAAACTAGATCTAATTAATTGCTTTATGTTATAAGCTAGGAAAGACTAATGTATCTTATCAACACCCATGCTGAAAGAGAATAGAAATGGATTCACAATTACGCTGGGTGAGAGAGAATTTCTGCTTGCTTCATTCAAGCCTTGTAAGAGCTGCCTGGAGCTTCGCTATCTCAGTATCACTTCCTAGATCTGAAACAATTTATAATGTATGAAGGCTGTGATGACAACAAGAGGAGTTGATCTATGAGTTATGATCTTTAGAGTAACTTTCCTTGTTCTGTAGATAGTGAAGTACAAAAGCAGTCCTTGGACACTGCACAGTCCATCAGTCTTAAGAAATACAAATTCAGGAATAGCCTCCCCCAGTGGACAGATAAAAAAAAGAAGAGCTGAAATGGGCAGCTCCCTGGATCCTGTGAAGTAATCAGCTTCCTCAGCTAAAGCTGAGGAAGCTAGCCCATGAATACATGAAGGGGTTAAACTGCAGCAAGTCAATCTGTCCTGATTAAAAAAAAAAAAAAAAAAAAAAAGAAGGATACAGCTTCTAGAACTGATAGCCTTACTCAAACAGCAGCACATTTTCTCCTGCACAAATCAGAGACAATTTTCTCACGCTTTCAAAGGACTGCCTTCCAATATACAACCTGTTCATTTCTCGCATTTTCAAAGGCAGAGTCTGATCATTTGTGCACAGCTGTCACACCGATTGCTTCAGGTTTGTCACAAGCCTCTTTCCATTCAGGCAGCTGTAGCCTTACAAAATTTTATCTAGCTGGCAGCCTAGATAGATACCTAACAGGTCTCATAACTGCTACCCTTAAGCCCTCTGAAAACCTTCAAGCTCAGATATCCCATGACAGACAAAGGCATATGGATATTGTTAAGTGCTATGCATGGCTAACAAGAAGAGAACAGGACAGGAAGTCAACAAAGCCATCCTTTCCATCATACCTTTTAATCAGAAAAAAACTAAAACTGACAACACTTTACACATAAGTTTGACATATGGCACAAATATAACCAGCCGCCACCTGTCAGTCTCCAGACTGGACTCAGATTATTCTGTTCTGTTCTTAATGGCTAGAAACACACTTTTGAGCTGTCTTGAAATGGGTGTTTAGTCATTGCATATTAAAATATATTAGGAATTAAGAAAGTCCATGGTAAGTTGAAGCCATAGTGGATATCACGTCGTTACCCTACAGCCTTTGTTAAATTTTTTCATGTCTGTAACAGGATATGGTGGAAAAGCAATTAAAATATCTCACTGTGGATGCACAAACATAAATTTAAGCTTCACATGAGAATCATACTAAAAGGCTATCTTTGCCCCTCTTCACGCAGCAGAATGGGTACCTGATTGGTCAGGAGGGCAGTCAAAGGCAGGAGGATATGATGTCAGACCCATCTGTCCATGGAGCTGCTATTGGCTATAGAAACCAGCATACCTTAATGATGTTAATCCAGTATAGGCTCATAGGCTCAGGAAGATCTTTTTCCTTTTTATTTATTTAGGGCTTTCGGATGTCTGCTGATGACAGTGGGAATCATTCCTTTGAGTTCAATGGGCTTCATATCAGCTCATACTCGGAACAGTTTATTTCTGGTTTTCACAAAGACTGCTTATTTGAGCTGGGAAAGACAGTTACCATCCAATAAGAAAAAGCCTTCCTTGAAGATTTTAATGTTCATGGCTTTAATAACCATCATCAATCCAACAAAAATAATGAAAAACAAACAAACATGCAAGCAGCTCTAAAGATGTTGAAGGGTTCTTAATAAGCTTTATTATTCTAGCCCTTGGGAAAACTGACCTTAAGCTTGAACCCAGTTTGATTTAAAGTTCAAGCCTAACTCAACAGACTTCACAAAGAAGCCCTTCCCTCCCTGGGCCTCAAAAACATCTCCAGAAACCACAACTTGAGAGAACGTGTCACCAACCATCTTCCCTTCCTGTGTGCAAACAATGATAGTTTCTCCTACCATTTACCAGACATTCCCATTCACATATTAGTGACAGAATCTGCTTGCATGAATAATTCACATTAGGATGTTATTTAATGCAATTTTAGCTTCATTCAGAGCTGAAAGCAAGGAGATGTGACACACCTCAAGAAGAGCCAGCTTTTTATAGACCACTACAAAGTGCTCTGTGGATGACAACTTGGGAACTGCTGTTCTCTCCCATTCTTTAGCATTTTGCCTGAGGAGGACTGCCTGCCATCTGTGTACAAGCAGCAGCTGTTTTGTGCCACAGTTTGATGACACGCTGGCACAAAAGCAAGAAGTTTAATCTCAGTCAAATACCTCAGCTTGTCCACTTTTGGTACAAGTAACATACCCATCATGAGAGGTCCCAGACTTAAAGAAAGATGACACAGCAGGAGGTCAGCTGGACTGAGATGCCTCAGCACAGCTGTATCACAAATCTTAAACTGAAACAAAATACCTTGCCAGCTAGCTCCTTAATAATGTATTTAACACACACAACCTACAGATACTTATTTTTAAGCTCTGTAAAGTCTGCACCTTTGCTTGTCATATTTTAATTAGTATGAATTTATATTTTGCAGGTCTATTTTAATATACATTCAATGCGCTGCTTCATTTTTCTTTACAGTTTTTATTCATATTATATATTCTAAATTCCTGAAGGTTTTAACCTCAGGAATGCTTATTCCTTAAGCATTTTAACCTCTTTAAAATTTCAGTGTCAGCAAAAGAAACATACTGTACCTAATTTGCCTTCATTTCCACTTATTCTAAATCCCATTAAAGTAAACTGTATCTTTTTTTTTAATATATTGGCAAAGACGAAGTGCTTTAACCCTGAGCAGTAAGAGCTTGCATTTAATTGAGTTAAAGACTTAAACTTGGATTTTTATTTTCCTTTTGACCTGGGCTCCCTGTGATTCAAATGAATTTTCAAGAGAAAGTTAAGAAAAACATAAAACAGACAGTCCTGCTGCGGAAAGAGGAAACCCACGCAAATAGATGAATGTTTGAGGAAAATCTATTTGATTATTGTGCTTACTGCCATAAGGGGATAAAAAAGAGGAAAGGAAGGGAAGAGGAGGGAATCTAAATTTAGGAAGCATAATGCTTCCCTGTGGTTACCTACTCAATACCATCCTATTCTTTACATGTTTTACCACGGACTGGGAATCATAATCAAGTACCATCCTCTCTTGTCCTATCCGCCACCAAACAACCAACAAAGGCAAGAAAGCAGAACAATACTACTACAACTGAGTAATAAAGTTGTTAATGTAGGTTTGTGTGATGCATTTCTGTTGCAAACATCTGTTTCCCTTAATTTTCAGTAGTAGGGTGACAAAACAGGAAGGCACTAATGGAGCCATGACTTTTTTTTTCCAAGTCTGGTTCCACTGCAGCAAATTTGCTCATTCTATGTTACTTTCTTTTAGCTTTTACTTCTCTTTCAATTCTTCGGTAACAAAACAGAGCATTATCATAAGAATGTTTGATCAGTACATCGCTATTACAGAGATGGATAATAAATGCCTGGATTGTAAAGATTTTACATCATGTACAATTGTAGCAAATCAGGTAGAAACGTAAGATGTATTCCTTTAAAAAGCAATAACCATGTGATGGAAGAGGAAAAAGAATAATGTTCCTACCATGATGCCTAGTGGCAGGCTAAAATTCAAATTATTTAAAAAAAACCCTTTTAGAACAACACATTATGAAAATTGAGCAAAATTAAATACATACTTATACCATTTATACTACTTCCCTTCTGCATTGTATTTCTCTAAGACAATACAACACATTAACCAGGTTCAACTTTCTAATTATTTCTATCTGTAACCCTAGGTCCCAGTGCAAGATATTTTACTTCATTATTTGCTTATAATTCAAACGGCTTGGAGCAAAGATAGAACAGATTCTACGTAAAACAGCTAACTACAAAATGTTGTTATAAAGACAACGTTCTTGCTAGCAGTGCTCTCTAACATATATTTTAAATATTCCTTTCTCATTCACAATAATTTAAAACATTTTTTCTTATACCCTTAAAGGTATACAACCCTATTTTTTGCATAGGTTATGATGCTGTTTGCTGCATGTCATCTATATGTCTTTTAAAAGTCATAATATTCAAATGTGTTAAGCTCTATCCATTATCTAAATATCCAAAGACCAAAATCTAACAGGAAGGTAAAACTCTAAAGCTAGGTTAAAGGAAAAAAGAACAAAACAAAAACTTGCAAATCATATAAAGGCAAAGCATAATAATGTAGCAACTTAGGATATTTCGCTGTTTGGAACATTTTTAGTAGTAAAGGGCAAACACACACAAGTAGGACCAGTCATCCAAACCTCAAACCAAGCAACCACCCACTTACCTCTGACAACCTCTTCTACAGATTCTGTAGTTGTAGTGGTAGTAGTAGCAATGCTGGTAGTTCTTTCAGTAGCTTCTTCATACTCTTCCTCTGTCTCCTCTTCAACCTCCTCGCCATCATCATCGTCATCATCAGCATCTTCATCTTCCACATCCGTTACTTCCTCCTCTTCCTCTGGCTGTTCTTCTACTACCTTATCATCACTGCAAGGTATATATATAAAAAGGTTTGTTGAGACAACAATGGAACACCTACATGGCAAGACTGACAACACTATACTTGGGCCCTTTCAGAAGTGTCACAAAGAATCCCTTTTCCCATAAAAAGCTGGAACTATGGAGAGAAGCTTGATGAGATTCTCCATTTGGAGAATAAAAAAATTAAATAAATCAGTCAGCATCTGATAGCACAGAGAAGAAACTGTGCCTGGTATCTTGCTATCACTGCAAGGTTCCACATGAGAAAAACTAGACGAAGGCACACTGAATAATGTCTTGTGTTCATTTGTTTCATACTGTTAATAGGGTTCAGAATCAACAATTATTTTGAAGGAAACTCAAATAAGTGGAAAATAATCAGATGAGGGAGTAGCAGTGTTGACACAAGTGAAATTGTACTGCTCAAGAAATTCCTCATCCTTGAAATCTGCAATTGATAGCCTAGCATTACAGGTACCAATCTGGTGTTTTGCACTCGAGTTTTGTAAATTGATTTAGACCTAGACTTGTCTCAGCTTCTCCAATGGGCAAGAGTAAAGGTTATAAAGGTTAAAATACAAAACAAAACAACTGAACCACCCCAAACTGACGGTTTGTTTCCCACTTCGCTGATGACCGAGCACATATATTTCAGGAACTATTTCATCTGACAACAGCTCTCTTTCCTGCCTAGATGATCTGTTGAAGTCCCTTCTGACCCTAGCATCTATGAATCTATGAACCATATATGTTCCTAGGCTTTCCTTTGGAACTGTATTTTTGGCAAGCCCAACATTTTTACTTCCTCTTCAGTAAAGCTTTTGCTACACAATACTTATGTCCCTGCCCCAGTCTTCCCCCCATTCTTCCATTCAATATTTGGTTTTTCATAACAGCATGAGATAATAGTCTAACTATAAGTTTCATTCAAGAGTGCTCAGTTAGTGCATCTTTGGGTAACTGTTCATTGCAGGTAGATTTATTTAATATTCAGATGGGTATTCAGTATTCAACCAACTGAATCATAGACACCATACCTTGTAGGCCTGAACAGGAAACCAAGGCAATTTTGCCTCTGCACAATGTCTTGAGCAGCAGTTCTCAAGTTTATACATCCTGTGACCTTCACTGGGACAACCCTCCCCCAAAGCAACTTAGGAAAGGTCAATAACTGTGTATTGGCTCCAGGTTACCTGAAAATCACAAGGAAGACATCATGGAAACATCCAAGATCACAGCACTTGCACCAAATTGATCTATTACTATTGATCTATAACTACCTGAAAGAAATCCTGCATATGAGCTCTTATCAGTGCTGACTGTAACAATGACTTTGCCTTAGTCTGCTGCAAGTCAGAATCAATGTTGAAAAGATCCACCACAGCAAAACTACCAGTCGCCCTCAGATAGACATCAGCCAAACTAAAAACAGAAAAATGCATACTATTCACTGAAGAAGCTGTGAAAGCAAGTTTACCTATCAACTCAGCCACCAAGACTTGGGTGAGCTTAACAACTAACATGGTACAATACTGCTATAACAGTGTTTGGGAAAAAATGTAAGAAAAATGCAGACCGGTTTGAAGAGCACTCTGAAACCCTTCTACCACTGGTTGAGAACAAAAGGACAGGACTAACTATAACAAATCTCCAAACATAAACCTAGAAAATCTGAGAAAGGCTTGAAGAGAAATACAAAAGGAGGCTAAGAGATGTGCCCAAGATTTTTGGTTGAAACTCTGAGATAATATTCAGAAAGCAGCTGACGCAGGGGATAGCTGTGGAATGTACCAAGTTATCAAACAAGCAACTGGTCCAGTCAAGAAGAAAACAGCTTTGCTGAAAGACTTAAACAGAAATGTCAGTACTGATAAAAGAAAGAAAACCTTGAGCGTTGGATTGAGCACTATGGAATTACAAACTCCAGTGAGACTGAAATCAAACATGAAGAGCTCGAAGGCTTACCATAGTTCGAAGTATGATGGATTCAGACAACATGACTACATCAGAAGATTTGCAGAAATCCATTAAATTAATTCCTGGGAACAAGACATCGGGTAACAACTGTTAGCCTGCTGAAATCTACAAATGTGCCAGCAACAAATTACTTTGAAAACTTCATGAGTTATACTGCTGTATTGGGAAGAGGAATCAGATTTCAAAGATGCTTGGGTTTGTACAATTATACAAAAACAAGGGGAATAGAAGTGACTGTGACAATTATAGAAGTATCTCCTTGTTGAAAGTCATTGGAAAAAGTGCTACTTGCATCATGCTCTCTACGCTTCAACCTCTAGGTGAAAGAATCTATCCTGAAAGTTGATGTGGTTTTCACTCAGGACGCTTCATCATTGATACGATATTTTTGGTCAAGCAAGTGGAAGAAAAGTGTAGAGAAAAATAAATACCACTGTACATAACCTTCACTGATATGATGAAGCTCTTCAATACAGTCAGCAGACAGGGCCTTTTTACTGTTCAGAAGAAACAGGGTTGTCCCTCCAAACTGCGGAATATAGTTCACTGATTACATAAAGATATGAAGGCAACTGTAGTGTATGAGAACAAAGAATCAAACACTTTTGATAATAAGCAATGGGGTGAAATGGGTGCATCTTAGCCCCTGTGCTCTTTAACAGCTACTTTTCAGTCCTGCTTCTTCATGCATTCAAGGACAGCAATGATGGCATTTATCACCAAACCAGACTAGATGGAGGCTTGTTCAGTGTTGCAAGGTTAGAGCGAAAACCAAGGTGAAAGAGCTGGTTCTGAGAGATTTCCTGTTTGTGGATGACATGGCCGTGGTTGCCCACAGTGAAACTTCCCTGCAAAATCTCTTGGGCACATTTTCTGAATCATGCCATCCTGAAGCTCTTGCAATTAGTCTCAAGAAGACTGTGATCATGTACCAAGGGGTGAAAGAACCAATACCTGATATCACTCTGGAGGATAAATCGCTTGGTTGTTGACAGTTTTTTGCTACTTGGGT